TAAAGTATGTCTTGCTTTTAGACAAATAGAGGGAGAGCAAGGAACTTTTCTTGTATCTACTTCTTCATTGCTTTTAGGCTCAAAATTATAATGCAGAATAATCCAAAGTAGCATATTTTGGGGGGCACATTCTGCTACCTTTTAGTATCCTATTTTTATGTATGTTTGAAATTTTCCATAATAAACAGTTTAAAAACAAGGAACAAACAGAACAACCAAAGGGGCTCTGCTTCATGCCGTTTGTCTGGAACCCAGGCTCATTCTGCCTCCCCCTGTGGCATTAGGGTCATCAGCCAGCCCGCAGATGAGCACAGGAAGCTGGAACATGAGGACACGCACTTGCTTCCTGCCCCGCACAGACGTGGCACATCGCTTCCACTCACATTCCATGCAGGAATGCTAGCCACACAGTGCTACTTGGATGCGAGTAGACTGAGAGTCCAGCTGCAGTACGTGCAGGAGGAAACAGAAACTGGGTTTGGAGCATACGTAGCCAGTCTCTGCCATTGACCCACTGTCTTTAGACACTCTTCCTTTCATTCCTACATTTGGTCTCCTGCTTGACCACAGGTCCTTTTTTTTTTTTTTCCTTTTAAGTTCATCTTTCCACGTTTGTTATATGCCAATTGTAACCCAATTTCATTTGTGAAAATGTGCTGCTTTCTGCTCGGGTATATTTAGTAAGGTCTTTCATATTCCCTAACCCCCACTTTATGTGTCTATTGCTAAAGCCAGTCGGTTACTTTTTGTTAGAGACTGATGCTAAAAACCCAGGACCTAAGGTCCCTGACTTCTAGTTGTAAATTGTAGTTGATTGGTTCTGTGTGAAATAGTGATTTGGGTTCCTATATTGTAAACAAAAAGGTCTGGAAGGCCTCAGACCATCTAGACTCTAGTTGCTCCCCCTTACCATGCTTTCTTTCACAGGGTCCTTGTTATGCATTACAGTCTTTACTCTTCAATGAAATTACCTTGTTCGTTTCTTTTTCATGATTATTGTTTGTCTCACAGACCTTAGAGCCTAGAAAGTGAGAAAGAACTGGAAGCCCAAGGTACTGAAAACGGCCTTCTAAAGCTCTGAGAGGCCCCCTTCAGCTCTCAAATCCTATTAAAAGTGCATGGATTATCACTATGAATATTGGATGGCGAGGAATGAGTTAATGTAAACAAAGCCCAAAAAATGGAATAGCCAGATATTGTATTAATGGAATATTACAGAAGTTTCCCTGGAAAACTTTTATTTATTTTGTTTTATTTTGAGTTGGTAATATTGTCTTACAGTATTATAACGGTACTAGGCTTTATGCAGTTCTTTCATACCCATTATCTCATTTACTCCTCACAGTAACATTTTGAGACAGATACTGTTCCACTGAGGAAAGCAAAGCCCGGAGGTGAAGTGATCTGCCAAAGGGCACCAGCCGGTTTGTAGCAGGGTAGAACCTGACTGGTATTTTTCCCACCACATCTTCGCCAACTCCAGTTATTTCTTTACTGGTACCATTCCCAATTTGGATCTCTGTTGGTTTTTATTCCATATTGGGCTCCCTCACCCACCCAAAGCATCGGTGTTTATGGCATTCCTGTCACTTTGATTCTGTTCCAGAGAGAAGTGGAGATCCTGATGTTCCTCAGTGCCATTGTGATGATGAAGAACCGCAGATCCAGTAAGTTTAGCCTGCTCCTCAGTTTCTTGAGCTTAGGCCACATGCCCTCCAGAGCTGCTTTCATTCTTGTTATGAGAGGGGCATTATTTGGTGAATGAGTCCCTTATTCCATGCCAGGGCTGAATTTGATCTTGGACTTTTATCCTCTTCCCCCTCTCCCATTTCAAAGTACCACAGGAAGAGTGACAAAACAGGATATAGGAGTATGCTGCCCAGCCTGACCTGTGACATCTTTGTGTTTCAGTCACTGTGGAGCAACATATAGGCAACATCTTCATGTTTAGTAAAGTGGCCAATGCAATTCTTTTCTTCCGTCTGGATATTCGCATGGGCCTGCTTTACATCACACTCTGCATAGGTAAGGAGACTGGTTGTGGGAACCAAATTCCAACCCTAGACAAGTCTCTCCATACCCTTCTTCCATATCTTGTAGTTCATTAATTATGTATGTGGCTCAGGTGATAAGAATCTACAGAAACTTTAAGAAGAAGAGAATGTGTCAGTGGTCTGCATATGTCCGTCCACAAAGTGTATTCTTTGGTGCCTAAAATCTTTGACTCAGTTTGAAAGTAAATCCCCTGCTGCAGGCCTTATATGTTTCCTCTGACCTCTTTTTTCCGTGTTTAGTGTTCCTGATGACGTGCAAACCTCCCCTGTATATGGGCCCTGAGTACATTAAGTACTTCAATGATAAAACCATTGATGTGAGTTCTCTTCCTCTCTCCTGTTTCTTGGGTCCCTTGTGGGTGATTTTGTAGTTGTGCTTTTTACTCACTAGGAGGAGTAACTGCTTCAGAATGGAAGTCAAGAGCACTGTGGATCCTTACTGGAGCTAGGGAGACGGGGGAGGGAAAGCCAGGGTGAGGAATTAGATGCTCAAGTCTGAACCTTTCTGGGAGCCTGTGTGATCCAGCTCACTGTTTCTTCCCTGTGTGTGGCAGGAAGAGCTAGAGCGGGACAAGAGGGTCACTTGGATTGTGGAGTTCTTTGCCAATTGGTCTAATGACTGCCAGTCGTTTGCTCCTATCTATGCTGACCTCTCCCTCAAGTGAGTACTGTATAGGGAGGGATGATGGGTGCAGAGGTGCTGTACTTTCCCTCTCAGTGTTTTTGGCTTTGATTTCTGCACATTGTAACCAAAGGCATTTCTCCCCCCCCTCCGCAAATATCTGTATTTCCACTTCCCTTGACCCATTTTCTTCTTTCATTATGTTAAATAATATATTTTTCTTAGGTACAACTGTACAGGGCTAAATTTTGGGAAGGTGGATGTTGGACGCTACACTGATGTTAGTACACGGTATGTAAGGGCCTGGACAGAGGGTCTGAGCAGTAAACCACTTGGAGTGATGTAGACAGATGCATTTATAGAGTACTTTCTGGGCCCTGTAGGTACAAAGTGAGCACGTCGCCCCTCACCAAGCAGCTCCCTACCCTGATCCTATTCCAAGGTGGCAAGGAGGTCATGCGGCGGCCACAGATTGACAAGAAAGGACGAGCTGTCTCTTGGACCTTCTCTGAGGTATCTGAAAGAGTGAGCGAGTGGTTTGGAGAAGGGTGTAGAACAGTAATGGGCTTTGGAGCCCAGCCTGGGTTTGATTCCTGGCTCTGCCACTTGGCCCACTAGTTTTGAGAGTGTGGACTAGTTACCAGATTTCATTCACGAATTCACTTAGCGAATTTGTTGTGCTTCTACCGTGTGCCAGAACTCCTAGTACAGGGGAGCAGTTATTAATTAAGATTCAGTCAAAGGCCCTGTCAGTATAGTCTGTAGGCCTGAGGTTCCTTAGCAGTAAATTGAAGAGAGTAACACTTGGATCGCAGGGTTGTTTTGTAGAGGACATTAAATAATGTAGTTGTAATTCCTGGCACAGTGGTTGTCACTAGCGGGTACTTAACTGTACAGGGTTGACACTTCCAGGTACCCAAAAAAGGAGAGTTAGTTTAGAGTAGATTTCTGTCCTCTCCTTCCTTCTTTCCTAGACTGTGTCTAAATACTTCTTACTTCCCAGTAAGGACTCTCCAACCAGAACCCTGATGTGCGTATGTACCTCTTCTGTGCAGGAGAATGTGATCCGAGAATTCAATTTGAATGAACTGTATCAACGGGCCAAGAAGCTATCAAAGGCTGGAGATAATAGCCCTGAGGAGCAGCCCGCGGCCTCAACCCCCACAGAAGTGCCAGATGGGGAAAGCAAGAAGGACAAATAGAATCCCTGCCTTGTCAGTACTTCCTCACCTTTGAGGCGCTGCCCCTCCTGTAACCACAAGCCTTGCGTGAGGCCTGCGCCTTTTATTTATGTTTTCTCCTTTGGCTACCCCGAGCGGGGCAGGGGGCTGCTTCGGATTTTAAAGAGGCTTCCAGGGAATTGACAGGCATCCTCCAGGACGGCCTCCACTGCTGTGGCCAACTTTCACTGGAAGAAAGGAGAAATCCACCATGGATGAGGAAATGCTTTCCCTCCAAGCTTGGGTCAGTTATCAGTTACTGTCCACCACTCACCTGTCTCCACCATGCTGTGTTTTCATCCCTCCTCTTAGTGGACCTACACAGTCTGCTTAGATTATATTCAACCTAACAGAAGATGCCTGTGTATGGAGTCTGCGCTAGGATTTTTCCCTCAAGGACCCTTGCTTATTTAGGCACTTCTGGCTTGGCCTGTGGCCTTCTTTAAAAAGTATAAGGCTAATTTTGCCACTGGTCCCAAGGAGACACCTTTAACCACTGAAGATAATATTGAATAATCCCCCTATTTTTTGGAGTTTGGGAGGAAGGGGAATAGGTTTGAGACATTCCTTTGTGTGGTGGGGCCTCCCGGAGAAAGCCCTGGGGCAGGAATGGGGTTTCACTTACTCTCCTACCTACTCCCAACACCCAGTTGATGGTTTTCCATAATAAAGAAACTGGGATTTCCTTTTGTTTGCGCCTCTGTGTGTTCCTCGCCCATTAGAAAAGCCTGGCCATTGCAGAGGAAGTGCATAGCTCCTCCTCAACTTCAAAGGCCATCCTGATGAGTTTCTCCAACTGCCCGGCACTGGTCCCCCGGATGAGGGCGAGTTAGGGAATGCTAGTTACAGTAATCCCGGAGTACTGACCTCGCCGAGTTAGGTTGTGGGTCTGCTTTGGGATTGGCCCGCGGTTTCCAGGGAGCAGGTGTGTGGGCGGGGGTGGGGTCTGTGTGCTGTGGCCCACGCGATTCAGCCCGACGGAGGCTTACGGAAACGCCTGTGTGAAGCCAGGGTTGTTTCGGAGCTGCCTAGTCCGCGCCCCTCCGCAAGCGCGGGTGGTTCGGCCGGGGCTCTCTAGCGGCCCCCGCCGCGGGCAGAATGGTTGTGCCCAGGGAGCCCGCCTCCAGACCACGTGGGCTCTCGGCAGCGCTTCGCGCAGCTAGGGAGACGCTTTGTCCCGGCGGCGGGCTTGCTGGCCTGCGGTCTGGAGCTCGGAGCGGCGCTGGCCGGACCCCTCTTCGCGCCCGGCTCGGCTCGGCTCCCTGCCGGGCTCCAGGCCCATGGCTTCTCGGGGCAGAAAGCGGAAGGCCGAGGGGGCGGTGGTCGCGGCGGCGGCGAAACAGGAGAAGCCGGCGGGCGGCCGGAAGGCAGTGGAGGCCGCGACCGTCGTGATCGAGCATTGGTGAGGGGGCTGCAGAAACCCGGGGAGGCGGGCCAGGGCGCCGCAGGCCAGGGCCCCAGCCTCTGACCTTCCCCCCCTCTCTCTAGCACGAGCTGACGCGTCTACGGGCGCAACGCCGCGGCCCTGAGCCAGGCGCTGCGCCTGGAGACCCCGGAGCTTCCGGTGGAGGTGAATCCTGCCAAGCCCCGGAGGGGCAGCTTCGAGGTGACGCTGCTGCGCCCAGACGGCCCCAGTGAGTGGCGGCGCGGGAGCAGGCGGGAGGCGCTGGGCTCCGCCCGCGGGCACCTCGGCATTTGGGGGACATGCTGGTGCGTTCCAAAGTGACTTCGCCTCCTCGGTCTTTTCCCAGGTGTGGAGCTCTGGACTGGGATTAAGAAGGGGCCCCCACGCAAACTCAAGTTCCCTGAGCCTCAAGAGGTGGTGAAGGAGCTGAAGAAGCACCTTTCGTAGGGTGTGTTGGGCAGAAGTCCTCGCGCTGAGGTATGAAGGGGGGGTAGGGGTGGATTTGGGGTATTTGCGAAGCAGCCCTCACAGTCCTCTCATTTCACACATGATCTACAACTTGTAACTCTTTTCTTGCTCAGGATTTCCCCTTTCTGCTGGTAGGAAAAGTAGAAATCGGCAGTAAAATTGTTTTCTCTTAGTGTGCCCTTTGCTAACTGCGTGTTTCACTGTCTTTGAGCTAAGTTGTAGGCTGCTGATGGTAATGTGAATGGCTCTTCATAGAAATGCAAGTTGTGCCCTTTGAAGATGGCGGTTATTGCCCTGGCGGGGGGTGGGGGTGGGGGGTGGGTACGGACCGTTTTTGTATTTGTTAGAAACTTATTTTGCACACCTGATGGCATTCGTTTCATAAAGTTGGTGGTGTAAACCCCACCGGTTTCCTCTTTTGTGAGTTAAGGTCGTTGACACTTGTTTTTATGTTATTCTCCCCCCCCCCCCATTACTGGCACAATTTTTGTGTAACCTCACGTGTGCTTACCCCTACCCTACCTTTTTGTGTTTTTTGTTCCTAGTATGTTTTCTGTTAATCCCCTGTGAAAACTACAGTAGTGTCACTCGTGGCCCCAAGGATTTGACTGGTCTTTATCCCTAGTACTGGGACATTGTCGTCAGGCACTTGATATGCTGAGTAAAATGTGGGGGAGGATGCAATCCTTGAACTCCCCCTGGGTTTGTGGGTTCTAGGGTGGGGGGCACAGCTTCCTCAGGCTTTAGGATTGCCTGGACCCCTGCTCTAACCTTTTTTTCGCCTGTCATGTTTACAGCCTCCTGTCCCTGGTGGTGGTGGAGCATTTATGATGGAACATGGCCAAAACTTCAGTCATGTACCTGAAGCCATGGTTTCTTCCCCTCCAGAAAGGATGGTTCAGTTGTGAGGCAACCCTCTAGTAAGGCATTGAAAAGTTCTTGGATTTGGTTTAATAAAAGTTGAAATAAAGTATCTGAATAATAAAGTAAAACTTAATCTTATGGTAAGAAATGGACAAAACCAGCCTTTTGTGGGATTGGCTCCCCTTGTATTTTTCATATTCTGAGGTCACAAATTAACCTGGAGCTCCTAGGTTCTCTGGTAGATCATGTGAAATACTTGCAAAAACTGTGGGGGGAAAAAAAGTAAATTATTTTTTTTAAAAAAGCATCTATCTTTTTCAACTCACTTCTTGGAAGTGATGATGGAAGTTATGTCTTTTTGGCCTCTGCAGAGGTTTGGCTAGACCTCCCATACTGGATTGAATAAGCCACATACATTAGGTTTGGGAAAATGTCCTGTTACTCGTACCCACTTGTTCCACCCCAGCACTGTTTCACACCTTCTGGGACATTTTCTGTTTCACAGAGGGTATTCTTTCTCATTTATTACTGAATTAGCAGTGACTAGATGCCTCATAACTTAGGAGACCTGGTGTTGATTGTTATTTATGACCCAGTAGAGTTGGGGACCACACAGTTTGTAGTTTCACTTGTTTATCACTAACTGGAAAATAGACTACAAAGAAATAAGATGGTTCAAGTTCATAATTTCGTACCCACGGTACACTTTTGCCTGGCTCCCAAAGCCTGGGGAGGAGAGGAAGGGACCTAAAGAGAACTAGGAGTACACCTGCCTCTTGTGCTAAGAGGACAGGGCACGTGCTAGCCTCTGCCAATAAACCTTTTGCTAGCCAACATTTCCCACCCTCCCACTGCCCCTAACCTGCACTTCCTGTTCTACGTGAGTATGTCCACCTCTGTATCTGACTCTGAGGAAGGGTCGGGCCACACAGAGGGAATACCAGTGGGCACCAGCCTCCCCTCTGATGTCCAGTCCACCACATCAATCTCTTCCTCTTCGGAGCTGGCAGGAAGTGGGTCCAACAACTCAGAGTTGCCAAGTACCTCCTTGCCTACCTCTGGAGCAGGATACAATACCTCATCCATACTTAGGGACACTTCTGGCCTAGTATCCATCCAGTTTGAACAGGGAGGTGAGAGGTCCTCATAGGACCTTTGGGGAAGGTCAAGAGAGTCAATCTGAAGCTTATCTCTCTGACCATCCAGTGGTTGGGAACTGGTAATTTCTAGATCTGGAGTCCAAGAGCCTCCTACTGAAAGTACCTCCCCTTCACTCACCTCAGAGGGTATGACAAGGGGGCTAAGGGACTCAATTGGCTCTTTGTTCTCAGAGGACATAACAAGGGGGCTAAAGGGCTCAATTGGCTCATTGTTCTCACCAACAGGTTCCTTTTCCAGTCCCGTGAGCTCCCTGGGCCAGAGTTCCATGTCGGGCAAACACCATTCCTCCCCTTCGATCCAGTTCTTTCCTGTTTCTGTCAGGTGATAGCTAGGGGTCCTGCAGCCCTCGGCCCCAGGACTTCCCAGAGACCCTATGGGGGGCTCAATGTCTGAGCCACACAGCATGAAGTCCAGGATCTCCTCCAGCTCACTGGTGGCAGCAGCACTTGTGATGCGGTACTCCTCGGCTTCGCAGGGCTGCCCCAGCAGGTCTGTGTCAAAAGCATAGGGCTCTCTGCAGTCAATATCCAACCCGGGTTCCTTCCCTACCAGTTCTGGACTGGACCCGAACTCGGACTTCACCGCTGGGTGGTCTGGGGAGTGGCTAGCAGAGAGCAGAATGTCTTGGAGCCTAGAGCATACTGGGGAGTCCTGACACAGGTCTACCCGAAAAGATGACTGTTCCTGCTCATTAAGTGAGGATGGCTGAGTACTCGCAGGCGCTTCTGAGTATTGAGGTTCTGGGATCTGAGGGCTATCTTGAGAGTTTCTGAGGGGAGGCTCTTGTACCACCTCCCAGCATGTCCCATTGACAATCTTCCGAAGTTTCACTCTTCCAACCTGCCCCTCTTCTGCGGAGTCGGAGTTCGGTGCCCTGACTTCAGGGCTCCGCTTCTTGATCCCACCTGTCTTTCCAAGGCCAGATGGGCTTGGGATGCTCTGTAGAGGACTAGCTGCCCCTGGTTTCTCCTTGTCCTCTGGTACTTTATTTATACTCTTCTGCCGCCAAAGGCGCCGGCCAGGGGCTGTGGGTACTGAGCTAGGTCCGCTTACCATGCTGGAAGGCTTGGATGTACAGAGATCAGGAGACGGCTTTGAGCGACTCAGTCTGATCTTTCTGGGCAATAGCCGCTCATCCACAGAGGGATACATACTGGGTGGGGAAAGTGCTGTAGGAGCAAGGGCAGGGTCACTCTTGTTCTCTCTTGGTCCCTGACTGTGGCTTGATGGTGAAGAGCTTTTTTCTTGTGGAGTTGGGCAAGCTCTGGCCTTCTTGAGCAGATTGCCAGACAAATTCTCTGCATTCTGTCGGTTGCTTTTCTCCAGGGGCCCCTCCTCCTTCCCGGAGGACTTCAATCTCACTGGCCCAAGAGGACAAGGAGTCTGGGTTGTAGGCAGTGGAGTCCGAGGGCGGCGGCTGGATGCCACCACCCTGGCAGAGATTGGTGCTGCACTTGGAGGCTGTAAGCACTCCCGGTTCAGTCTTCGGCCCTGGGGGGCCTTCACCAACTTCCCACCCTCTAGCTGAAGGGATTCTAGCTCAGATACACGGAGCTGACGGGCAGCAGAAAGCACATCCTGGGCTTCTTCTCGAGATACTTCCATCTCTGAGGTATACAAGAAGTCCACCAGCTTCCTGAGTGTCCTGATCTTCAAGCCCCCCAACTCCAGCACCACCTTCCGACCCTGAGCTGGCCTCTCCCGTTCCAGGCGCTCTGTGAAGAAGGGGCTGCAGGCTGACAGGATGCAGCAATGAGCTGGGACTGCCTCACCTGGAAGGAAATCCACTTTGTTATCTCATGCAAACTGGCATGTTCATGGGCTAAGCAGAGTCTTTACTACCCAAGTGTGCTGCCCTTTCTCTCAGTTTTCCTCCATGGGAGTTCAAATAGAAATTTGTTCCTTCTGTCTGCCTGGAACCTTCTGTCATTACCCAGCTAACTCCATTTTATCCTTCAAAATCCAGTTTAGGGGCCCTGGATGGCTCAGTTGGTTGACTGTCTGCCTTCGGCTCAGGTCATGATCTCAGAGTTCTGGGATCAAGAAACGCGTCAGGTTCCCTACTCAGAGGGGAGTCTGCTTCCTCTCTGTTTGCCCCCCCCCCTCCCCCACCGCTCCTGCTCTTTCTCTCTCTCAAATAAATAAATAAAATCTGAAAAACAAACCCTGAAAATCTAGTTTGGACGTTACTTCTTTCAGAAAGCTTATCCCCATCCCACCTCAAGTCTAGGTTAGGTGCTCCTGGGCACAGAGAGGTACTCTAGCTATCAGAGCACTTATAGCTATCCATATTGTAAGTGTCACCTCCTTCACTGAAGTGAAGCTCTATGAGGACAGAGACTATACCTGTCTTGCTCTCTGAGGTAAACCCACTGCTTGACACAAAGGAGGGGATCAAATTTTTTTTAGACTCACATGAGAGTTTAAAAAAATTTATAGAAGCTGTAATAGAATGTGAGCTTTGGATATAGACAATCAGGATTCAATTCTCTCCTGACCCTCTTAGGCACTGCCTACCAGCAGTCGTCTGTCCTCAGCCACCTTCTTTATGAGCACTTCCTTGGCAATCTCAGTCTGGCTTCCATTTCCAAAGGCTTGCTGCTGACTCCCAGGTCCTACTTCTGCCCAGATACCTTTTTCCTGAGACGCTAAACATGCCATAGCCTGCATCAACCTTTCTAGAAAGTGAACTCCATTCCCTAACCCCAAAACCTCTCATTTCTTACTTCAAAATAAGTATCCACTTTATCCAGCTGCCCAAGCCTGGAAACAAGTCATCTTTGATTGTTCTCCTTTACCTACTGTGTCTAATCAAACATTTTTATTTATTTTTAAAGATTCTTACTTTAATCTCTACACCCAACATAGGGATCGAACTCAAAACCCCGAGATCAACAGTCACAAGCTCCACTGAATGAGCCAGTCAGGCGCCCCTCAAACATTAATCTTTAAAAAAAACAACAACAAACTATTTCTTGAGTCCTTATTGCATGCCATGTAATGTACTAAGTAAGGGTTTTACCAGTATTCATTCATTTACTCTTCACTGCAATTCTGTGAAGTAGCTGTTATTACAGATGAGTAAACCGTGGCATAGCTAAGTAACATACCCATCACAGTTACACAGTTAGCAAGTCACACGGAGGGGATGTGAACCCAGGGAGTTTGGTTACAGAGCCCATGCCCTTAACTGCCCCAAGTTTTGTAAATGCTTTTTGTTTATAAAGCATACATTTTTCTCTATTCTCAATGCCTTAGTTTTAGGCCACCATTCCCACTCTGGATTCCAAAATGGCCTCCTATCTGGACTCAACAACAATCCAATAATTCTTCTCATGCAGCCCAAGTAGACATCTGATCATGACCTTCTTCTTAATACCTTTAAATACATTTCCCTGGGTGCCTGGGTGGCTCAGTCAGTTGAGTGTCTGACTCCTGGTTTCATTTTGGGTCATGATCTCAGGGTAATGGGATTGAGCCCTGCATCAGGCTCCACACTCAGCAGGGAGTCTGCTTGAGATGCTCTCTCTCCCTCTCCCTCAGCCCCTCCCTGCTTGCATGCACACTCTCTAAAATAAATAAATAAATCTTAAAAAAAAAAATTTCCCAATGTTCTGAGGATAAGACCTACTTCCTTTCCATAACACTTCAGAACTTACACATTGCCGCTAATTTCTCTAGCCGTATCTCTCATCAATACACTTCTTGGAGTCTGCCCTCTAGCCATAGTGAACCACTCACAAATCCTTGGCCGTATCTAAATCTCTGTACATGCTGTTCTCTCTGCCCGGGAAAATCTTTTCCCACTTCCTCCTACTCCTGTTTGTCCTCCAGATCTCCACTAAGAGGTTATTTTCTCCAAGAAAATCACCCTAACCCCTGTCCCCCAACCTCCTCACGTCTGGGAAGGTGCCCCTCTCTTGTGCTCCTGTATCAGCCTTTACTTACTCCAATGTTGTTATATTGCACAGTTACTTGGATCCACTGGTTATTTCAGGGTTTCTCTCCCCTTTTCATGATTTCTGTACAAGGAGGGATTTTATCTTCATATATACTGTATGCCCATGCTAGTACACTGTTCTAACAAACAACAGGCAATTGATTTTTTTTTATTTTGAATTAAGGAATGAATCCCAACTCTACT